GTGAATGATTGTTTTGATGTGTTCTTGGATCCGATTTGCCAGTATTTTATTGAGTATTTTTGCATCAATGTTCATGAGTGATATTAGTCTGAAGTTCTCTTTCTTAGTTGTGTCTTTGTGTGGCTTGGGGATCAAGGTTATTGAAGCCTTGTAGAAAGAGTTTTGCAAAGACCCTTCTGCTTCTATTGCCTGGAATACTTTGAGAAGAATTAATATAAGTTGTTCTTTGAATTTCTGGTAGAATTTTGCACTGAGGCCATCTGGACCTGGGATTTTTTTTTTTTTTTGGTTGGGAGACTTTTGATGACTACTTCGATTTCCATAGGGGTTATAGATCTATTTAAATTGCTTATCTGTTCTTGGTTTAATTTTGGTAAGTGATAGCTATCCAGAAAATTGTCCATTTCCGTTAAATTTTCGAAATTTGTGGAGTACAGGTTTTCAAAGTATGACCTGATGATTCTCTGGATTTCCTCAATGTCTGTTGTTATGTCCCCCATTTTGCTTCTGATTTTGTTAGTTTGCATGTTCACACTCTGCCGTTTGGTAAGTTTGGACAATGGTTTATCTATCTTGTTGATTTTCTCAAAGAACCAACTCTTCGTTGCATAGATTCTTTGTATTGTTTTCTTAGTTTCTACTTTATTGATTTCAGCCCTCAGTTTGATTATTTCCTGATGTCTACTCCTCCTGGGTGAGTTTGATTCTTTGTGTTCTAGAACTTTCAGCTGTGCTGTTAATTCTCTAGTGTAACTATTCTCCAGTTTCTTCATGTGGGCACTTAGTGCTATGAACTTCCCTCGTAGCACTGCTTTCAAAGTGTCCCATAGGTTTGGGTATGTTGTGTCTTCATTCTCATTGAATTCAAGGAAGTCTTTAATTTCTTTTTTTATTTCTTTTTTGACCCAGGAATGGTACAATTGTGCATTATTCAATCTCCATGAGTTTGTAGGGTTTCTGCAATTTGTGTTGTTGTTGAATTCTAATTTTAATGCATGCTGGTCTGATAAGATGCATGGAGTTATTCCAATTTTTTGTACCTGTTGAGGTTTGATATGTTGCCAAATATATGGTCGATTTTTGAGAAGGTTCCATGTGGTGCTGTGAGGATTGTATATTCTTTTTTATTTGGATGGAATGTGCTATAGATGTCTGTTAATCCCAATTGGGTCATAATTTCTATTAGACCCTTTGCTTCTTTGTTAAGTTTCTGTCTTTTATTCCTGTCTAGTGGTGAGAGTGGGGTGTTGAAGTCTCCCACTATAAGTGTGTGGGGCTCTATACGTGATTTGAGTTTTAGTAATGTTTCTTTTATGAACGTGGGTGCCTTTGTATTTGGGGCATAGATGTTCAAAAATTGAAACTTCATCTTGGTGGATTTCTCCTTTAATGAGTATGAAGTGCCCCCCTCATCTCTTTTGATTGATTGTATTTTAAAATCTTTTTTTTTTAGATATTAGGATTGCTATTCCTGCTTGTTTCTTGGGTCCATTTGATTGGAAAATCTTTTCCCAACCTTTAACTCTGAGGTAATGTCTGTCTTTGAGGCTGAGGTGTGTTTCTTGTATGCAGCAGCAGGATGAGTTCTGTCTTCGAATCCATTCTGTTAGCCTGTGTCTTTTTATGGGCGAGTTAAGACCATTAATATTGAGGGATATTAATGACCATTGATTGCTCATTCTTCTTTGATTTGGAATAGTTGTTGTTGGTGGAATTATTTATGGAATTCCACCCCTTTTTTCTTTTGGCTGTTGGTAAGGTGGGATTATCTAATGACTATGTTTTTCTGGTTGTAGTTAACTTCCTTGGGTTGGAGTTTCCCTTCCAGAACTTCCTGTAGGGCTGGGTTAGTGGATATGTATTGCTTAAATCTACTTTTGTCATGGAATATCTGGTTTTCTCCATATATAGTGATTGAAAGCTTTGCTGGGTATAGTAGTCTGAGCTGGCGTCCATGGTCTCTTAGTATTGGTAGAATATCTATCCAGGACCTTCTGGCTTTCAGAGTTTCCATGGAGAAGTCAGGTTTGCCTTTATATGTTACTTGACCTTTTTCTTTAGCTGCTCTTAATATTCTTTCTTTATTGTGTATATTTGGGGTTTTGATTATTATGTGGCAAGGGGACTTTTTTGTGGTCTACTCTATTTGGTGTTCTGTAGGCTTCTTGTACCTTCATTGGCATGACTTTCTTTAGGTTGGGAAAGTTTTATTCTATGATTTTGTTGAATATATTTTCTGCCCCTTTGAGGTGGTTTTCTTCACCTTCTTCTATATGGATTATTCTTAGGTTTGGTCTTTTCATGGTGTCCCATATTTCCTGGATGTTTTGTGTTATGGATTTGTTGGGCTTAAGATTTTCTTTGGTCGATGAATCAATTTCTCCTAGTGTATCTTCAACACCTGAGGTTCTCTCTTCCATCTCTTGTATTCTGTTGGTTATGCTTGCATCTGTAGTATCTGACCATTTATTTGCCCAGCTTTTCTGTTTCCAGCCTTCCTTCAGATTGTGTTTTTTTTTTTTTTATTGTCTCTATTACAGTTTTCAACCCTTGCACTGTTTGAATTGTTTCTTGTAGCTTTTGGTTTGTCTTTTGTCCATTTGATGCATTTTCTGAATTTTTTGGTTTGTTTTTTCTTCCATTTCTTGAATTTTTTGGTTTGCTTTTTCTTCCATTTCTAGCAGTTTTTGGTTTGTTTTTCTTCCATTTCTTTGAGGGATTTTCCTATATCCTCCTTTAGGACCTCTATCATTTGCATGAGGTTGTTTTTCAGGCCATTCTCTTCTGCTTCATTTGCATTGGAATGTTGGAGTCTTGCTGGTGTGGAGTCTCTAGAATCTGGCTGTGTCATATTTGTTTTTCTGTTGCTGAGTGTGTTTTTGTATTGTCTCTTTCCCATCTTTTCTTCTTGTTGGTGCAGAAAGAGCCCCTTGCTGGTCTGGTGGTTAGGGGAACAGAGTTCCCTTTTGGAGGGTGCAAGCAAGTCCAGTACTCTAGTAGTTCTCCTCTTCCTGGCCCTTAGTCCTGGTCCCATGGGTAGAGAAGAAACCAGGAATCTGGGGTGGGTAGATTCCCACTGCTGGTCTGCAGGCACTGGTCCCCTGGTCCTGTTGGTGGAAGAGAAGGCCAGGTATCTGGGGTGCATGGCTCCCGCCAGGAGGGGAGGCTCTGTGGCAGTCCCCAGGCACTGAAGGCAGGCCCAGATACAGGGCTCAGTGTACCTGGTCCTTTGGTCCAGTTGGTGGAAGAGAAGGCTAGGCATCTGGGGTGCTTGGCTCCCGCCGGGAGGAGAGGCTCTGTAGCAGTCCCCAGGTATTGTAAGGCAGGCCCGGTTACAGGGCCTGGTTTACCTGGTCCTTTTGGTAGAAGAGAAGGCCAGATATCTGGGGTGCGTGGCACTGGCCATCTTTACTTTTTTTTTAAAGAAATAATCTTTATTTTATTTACTACCTGTGGCTACAAAGAATGTCAATATTGATGGTGTCAATTCAGACATCAAAAAAGAACTGACAAGTGCTTTAAATGAAAAGTGAAAATAAGACTTGACTTTTGAGACAAAGACTGTACACCTTTCATTATGGTATGATATGGTATTTTATTATTTATTGTTTTTTATTATTTAATCTGACATAAATTAAACTTCAGGGAATTCAGTAGTAGAGTGCTTGCCCTTGTCTACTATGTTATAGACCTTGGGTTTAATTCCTAGCACCACAACAATTAGTTCATTATTTAATAATTAAGCATTTATGTGAATAAGAAGAAAAAACATAGTGTAACCAGCATTTGGTGATATGTACAGATTCAAGCATTGGCGGGGACTGGGAATGGACCTCTGAGAAGGGAAGCACTGTAACTGAGAAGGGCAGTGTTTCTGCAGGAGCAGACTTAAAGAGGATATGCTCCAGTGGAAGATACTGTGCTGAAAATCCACTGGTGGGGTTCACAAAAGTCGACCTTTATTCAATTAGCCAATCAATTAATTTTTGTTTGAGACAGAGTCTTGCTGTGTAACCTAGACTGGGTTTCTACTCCAGACTCTCCTGATTTAGCCTCCTGAGGTGTAGGCTTCCACACCTTGCTAAGGTTCCACTTTGTATCATAATTCTACCTTTTCTTAGTTGACCAGGTGTTAGACAATTAGCTTTAGGACATTAGTCTATAGAGTTATTGTTACTAGCAAGTCTAAAATCTGTAGTGCATGTCTAAGGATTAATTTGGCAAAATTTTTTCTTGTTGTGGAGAAGTTACTCTTTTGCTGTTTATGCCTAAGGCTGATTAGATGATTCCTCCCACATTAGGGAGAACAGACTCCTTTATAATTTACTAGTTCATATGTTAAGCTCATCCCTAAAATCCCCTTGTTTTGACAGAGTGGTCATCCATGCAGAAGAAAACTGCAATATCTTTGCTATATGTTCATCAGTACAAATCATTAGTCTGACCCACAAGTCCACTGACAAGTACTTCCCCCCAAATGTAGGGTTTTCTCTTCCTCACAAATAGCTGGCAAGTGTTAAGTATATAAAACTACACTTCATTTAATGGGATATTATTCTTCTGTTGTACCTACAAAATTTCCATAAGACTGTTTTACATTTAAAAATATATGTAAGGAATAGAAATATGAGCTAGTTCCAGGACAGCCTCCAAATTCACAGAGAAACCCTGTTTCAACCCCCCCAAAATAAATATATTCTTTATAAAAGGATATAATCTTCATTCTTGGGCTCATTGCTGTTAAAAACAATTTTACAGAGATTGATGGATAAATTATCTTACTCTCTTAAGTAAATGTTTTACTTCACTTTATCAACTGATTGGATTACCAAAGGAAATGATGAGGTGAGGACTTCCTTGGGAATGCGGATGGTAGCTTCACTTTTATCTTTGTAAATAGACCTGTTTTCATCTATGATCCATTTTCCTTAAGTCTAGAGTGAGACCCTATAATATACTTACTCTAAGTTACAACTCACACTCTTTTTTCTTATCTCCAGAATAGAAACATTTTCAGGAAGAGTAACAACCAGTCCTCCACCTGAGGAGAATGGAGATAACATTACAGAAGAAACATTTTTATCCAATGAATATGAATATCAAGGAAGCCATTTTTGTGAAACTCACTCATCTTCAGGTGGGACCAATACATCCTTGTCAATGTTTCACTCAAAAGAAAAGAACATTTTCATGAGATCCTTTCACAGAGAAGATCCACAAAGTAAATATCAAACACAACCATTTTCCTCCAATAATTTATTTTCAATAATGAAAACCAACAGGACAAAAAATACATTTCTTGATGCTGTCAGTTTTCCAAGCACTTTTACGTTTACAAGAGCTAAGGATCTCAATATGACACCATGCCCTCCTGTTCATTTATTTCTTTCTCTTGACCAAATTAAACATGTGGAAGAAAATGTGAGAAAGAGGATCTCTGTAAACCCTAAATCTATGTCAGGGAGGGAAGCTAATTGTCTGCACCCAGGATCTCACAAGCCATTGATCCATTCTCAACATCCTAATGAAGTGGTTCTTCCTGCTGAAGCACTAGATACTTTCCTGGACCAAAGTGTTATGCAGAATCAGTTGATTCACAAAGAACAGTTTACTAGCCAAACCCAAGAATGTATTCACAACCAAGAGTCAGTCATCAGCCAGCCTGGTTTCATTCAGCCTCTAGATGTTATGAGACTGCCATTTTCTAACAGCACACAAGACTCCTTCCAGGCCCATCAAATAGACCATAAAGGTAGGAGCCAACATTTCAACCACATCCCATGTATTGTTGAAGCAGAGGATTCAACCAAGGGCATAGAGTGTGATGAACATTTCAGTGAAACCCAATGTCCCGTTTATTTTAATGACCAAAACAGGAGTAAGCATTTGGTTCCAGGACAAAATAGTGTTTTCCAGAATGCCGATTTTCTATCTTTAAGATCAAATTCATTGGCTGAAGATTTTTTACAACAAAAGGTAATACCAGACCAACAACCAGTGGCTTCATTAGAATCAAACCAGCATTATGCACACAGGTCAATGTCTCTTTCACTTAACATTAAAAGGCAGAGAAACAGGAGAAAAATGCCAGACAATGAAAGAAAACTCAGTCTTAAAGTTCCACGTCCCAAAGCAAAGAAAACCTCTCATTCACAAGTGTTTCCAATCATAGTATGTCATACTTCAGAAAATAAGATCAAGTTGAGATGCAAGAAGAAGAACACAGTACATCAAAGAAAAACCATGTCAGATATAGCGCTGCATCTTATTTCTGTCTCTAAGCTTATCACCCCCCATGTTAAAAAGTATTTCTTAAAATGTCTAGTGGCAGTCATTCCGGACTTAACATGTGAGCATATTCTGCAGGGGCAAAATGAGTCACTAGATATAGAGAAAATCAATTATACAGGGGCAGACAAACATACAGTCAGAGAGGAGGTTGCAGGTCCCATGCACCCACCTTTAAGGTCAGAGAAATTGCCTGCTGCTGAGTATTTAATTGAAACAACAGAAGGTAGGGTCCCATTTTGTGAAAATCCCACACAAACACTGGATAGTCATATTACAGAAGACAAAGAATATTTGAACAAGAACTTATGTGCAGATGCCACAAGACCTTTCAAAGTCAGAAAAAAATCATCACGACCAAAAAATGTACTTGGTGTCAAGCACAAATTTAAAGTGAAAAGCCCTGCATTTTCCCTAAGGCTTTCTGTCGCTGCACATGACACCCTGAAACGTAGGAGAAAAGTGGGAGACAGCTTTGAAATCAACATTAAACAAATGCTGCATGATGTAACGGCACCTGAACTTCTGAATGTTCAGCCTCAGAGGTCTAGCATTCGCAATAATAAAACAGATATCGAGACAACACCCACAAAGCCCCAAGTTGAGAAGAAAGAAGAGCATCCAGATCCCCTTGAGAAAGAAAGGAAAGCTGTGGATCCTCTAGAAGCTCAGCTGTGCCGTGATGTGAAAGCGGCGGAACCAGCGCTGCCAGGGACGGTGGCTCATGCTAAGAGGAGCTTTAGATCTGATGCGTGCCCCGTGAAGGGGGTTAAAACGGAGAAGGAAATGTTTCAAGCAATATCTCTCACTGAAGCAATTAGGGAGTCAGTTGACTCACTGAGAATGGATTCATTTTGTCTTGCAAATACAAAAACCAGTACAGCTACACAGACAGAGTTCCAATATTGTGCAGAATTAGAGTTGAATCCTCTCACGTCAGCAAAGTTACTGACTCAAGACTCTCTGAGCCAATCAAGTGAAAGTAATGTTTCAAATAATGGAGATGATACAAGGGAAATTAGTTATGGTTTTAATCAAAACACTTTTTCATGCTCTGTAAATTATTGCATGCCTGTTTTGATTCATTCTAAAAAGAAAGACCGAACAAGATTCACAAATATGAGTACAGTGAGGCTCAAGTGTATCAATAAGGTGAAACCGATGGCTTCAAAAACATTCAATATCACAGGCAATAAAAAGAAGTCAAAATTAGACCTCAAGATCAAATTAAAAAGGGTAAACAAGGCTAAGGCATTTTTACCTGAATGTCAAAACACTATTTGCTTATCCATCCATAGAAGTTTGCAGGAGATCTTCTGTCATGCTCAACTAAAGCAAGAAGGACTAGCAAACAAAATATGTGTTGACTGTGTTGCTGAAAGTAGTGTATTCTACAACAGAGAGAGAATTTTCAAAGAAAAAGAAAACCCTTTTGTACAGGCAGCTTCACAGCATGGCCAACATGGGTGGGCTGATGCAGATCAAAGGAAGGAAACTCTCACAGATGAGCCAGACCCATCACCCATCTCTTTAAGTCAAGAACAACCTACTAACAGTCAGGATATAAAGTACCAAAAAGATTCGCTGAAAAGTACTTTGGAGACCAGCCTACAAATGCCTCCTATCCAAGCTGAAGGATTACAGACAACTACCAAAACAGAAAGTGGCATAAACTTCCCCGTGGTTCCTAAAATTTTATCTCCTGAAGCAGGGACCTCTTCACCTGGTGAATTTACAAATATGGCAAGTGATGATTTAGAATCTGACGAAAACTCTGAACATGAACTAGGTTTGTATCCTGAAGCAAAGGATTCAGAGACATCAATAGGTCTTCAGGTGACATTCCTGCAGTCTTCTGATTCTGTTACAAGATCCTTTGTTTCCAGACCTAAAGGGAAGAGAAAAGCACTAAAATTAAAGAAGAAGCAGACAACAATGAGACATAGACATAGCACTATGAGGGAAATAAAACCATCAGTTTCACAGTCAGTTAACGGCAGGTATAGCAAAAAAATAAACCACAAAGAAATGAAAGATCCCCAGAAGAGGGTTAACATAGCAGGTGCCTGTTTGGACTTCATTCACTCTGAGGCATGCATCTTGTTAAACAAAAAAAATAGAAGTTCAAAACCATGCATAGATAAACAGAGAATAAGAAGACCTGGTTGTATGGAGCCAATACAAGAAAAATTGCCAGATGGAAGAAACACACACTCTCTGGGTTTTGCTGATTTCAGTAGTTCCTCTACCATGAAGAACTATGAAGAGGAAAGAGAAGAGGAACCAGAACATTTCCTGATCTCAGAAAACAGCCCCAGACTTATTTGTGATACTTATCAAGAAAAAGACCATGACCAAGCAGGGAGAACAATTACTCAGGTACAAGCACAAACACCTGCGGAAGTCATTTCCTGTTCTACCCCATGCCCCATCTCAGATGAACTTAAACTAGAAAGGCTAGAGGGCTGTTTCAGTGTTTCCCCTCTAATGGTTGGGGAAGATAAAGACAGTGCACTATCTGAAGGAGAATATGATCTATTTGACGAAAGACAACACAAGGAACAGGCTGCTGACAGTGAAAGGGAGGCGGAGGAACTGTCAGTCTCATACACTAATCCAAGCCATAGCGGGGAAATAAAATGTGACTCAACCAAAATGAAAGGCATGTATCCAGAGGAAAAGATTGCAGATGAAATACCCTATTTGACAAATGTTGCACTGGATATTAATATGAGCGTCAAGATAGAAATGGAAAAAGCCATGTCCAGCAAAAAATCACCCTGTTCTGTACCAAAGAAGTCAGAGATACTGCTTCATGAAGGGAAGGTTACTTCAGATGACATCAAAGAAATTGATCTTCAATCTAAAGAAGTAAGGGAAAATGATGCTGACACATTATGTAAATCATTCCCACAAGATAGCCAACATTTTGCATTTTGTTCACATCAAAGCAGGGATCCTAACTCTCACGAATTAAAACAAAGAGGGAGGGCCATTATGTTCACTGTGGAACAGGAAATTCCACAGCCAAGTCAGTCAGCAGGTCTAACACAAAGAGAATGTACCATGTGTACGTCAAATTCAAAGGTTCCTCCCATACAATCACAAGAATCACAAATAGATGAAGTTAACACTGATAGAACAAAATATGACATCGCTGCTGATGGGACTCATTCACAGAAACTGAACAGTTGGGATAGATTGGAAAGAGAAGGGTTTAAAAATGACCTACAAGTAACAATCACAGAGTCTTTGAATATCTCAATTCCTGATGTACTGAGATCTAAAAGGAAAAGCAGAGTATCTACATGCAAAGCCTTACAAGGTAGAATGTGTTCAACTGGTATAACTATGAAAGGAAGGAAACCATCTGTCTCAAAGGTACTAACTATTTCACAGTGTGGTCACAGAAAAACTCTACTTCCAAAAACATTGAAACCACAGATTTCTGAATTACTTAAACATTCTGCTGTCTTATCTGATAGTCCTAATATAAAAGTATTGAAATATCCAACAGCAGAGAAAAAGAATAGATTATTAACCCAGGAACTGGCAGCAACAATGATACAGTCTTTGAGTTTCTCCACACCTACGTCAAAGGAGAGAGAGAATTTAAAACTCATGGACAAGGGAAATGAAATAAGTAACAATAGTCTATCTGTCAAAACGAGGAAGGCGGCAATCTCCCAGACACTTATTACTGCAGGATGTGGAACACCAAAACAAGGTGAACACATGGAAGGTTCGTCCCTAAATGCCATCTTCTCTCCTATGCCTGTGTCTCTAGATCTGAACACATGTGGTGGAAGACAAGATAGGGGTATGATGTGGACAGTGAGATTTAGTCCTGAGCTTCATGACCAGTCAGAACACAAAGAGAGAGATTGGTGCACAAACTACACAGACAAGGACACAGCCTCAAATGGCACCAAAGATGTAATAGGTCAAGGGGGTGAAGAGGGCCCACTGACTTTCCAACACTTCAGTATGGCAGGGCCTAATTCTGTGCAATCTGGTTTACAACTGGTTAATTCAGCAACTTATCCAGAGTTAGAGAGAACTCTATATGATGGGCAAGCAGACCCAGTCAATGTGAATAACTTACAAAGTAGCATGGTGGGTGTAACGTCAAACACACCTTCCATACAGTCTCTTGCCTATTCTGAAGTGGATACACAGATAAATGGAGAGGAAGCTATGCAAATAGCCCAATCTAGCCATCACCCAAAGCTCCAAAGACCATCAGATATAGCAGAAATAATCTATACACATTCTAATCTTGAACCTATCTTAAACAATGAAAAATGTTCCATAGACTATACATTCCAGAAAGAAGAGAGTACAACACCAGAAGAAAACATGCATTTGAAAGAAAAAACATCAGTTTTACAGAAAATTCAGTTAGATATCACAGAACCAAGGCAAGAGCTACAAAAAATTAAAGATGAACTTAATGTGGTTGAAACCAGTACCAGCATGTGGATATCCTGTCCTGGTTTAAAATCAGATACAAGGCTAGAAAAAGCAGATGATGTAACTGAAGTAACACTGCACACTCTTACAGAATTATCACTCCAAACACCATCAGCTCCACGGAGTGAAGCAAGTAAAGAGTGTGCCAACGGTGACAGCACTAGTGCCACACTAAAACAAGAGGAGCGCGTGCTGCAGAAAACAGAACATGAAGTAAAAATATTTGGTGACAAAGTCACAATGCATACAGAAGACAAGGACTGCACAGAAAATAAAACACTCTCCCAAGATTTATTCTCAAGTTCTAAGGAGCAAGGGAAAATAGAGCCACAAAATGAAGAACAAGCAAGAGTGGACAGAAAGGACAAAAAAGAACAGAATTACAATCATGATGGCAAAGACCAAGAGAAAATGGATCCAAATTATACAAAACAGGGGGAATGCAGTCAAGATGATAGGGAGGAAAAGGAAAAGAATCCAGAGGGTAAAGAGCCAGAGGAAGCAGTTGGAGATGGTCAGGAACAAGAGGAAGACTGTCCAGAGAATGGAGAGCAAGAGACATGGAATCACAAATGTGACACTCCAGGGAAAGTAAACCCCAACAGTAAACAGCCAAAGAAAGCAGACCAACAAGGGGAAAGCAAGGAGAAAGAAGCTCCTGAGTGTCTTCCTTCTAAGTCTTCTCATAAACTGATGCCTATCAGAACAGAAGAAGAGATGCAAGGAACCATAAAATCAGCTAATTCACAGCTACAGCACCAGAAATTGCTTGAAACAGGAAAAACTGAACAAACAGCGTCAACTGAGGATGATGATAAGTCAAATGTAAAAATAGGGAAGCAGTGTGAGTCACAGACATGGATGGATAGAGGAAAAATTGTGCATACAAAAGATGCAATGCACCCCAAAGACACAAGTTCCAACAAAAATCAGTTACCACTTGCAAATGCACCCAGGATCACTGGACATTATGGTGCAGATACAACAGATGAACAGACAAATGTAAATGAAAACTTGGGACATGTGCAGGAAAGAAACTGCGAACTAGGTGAGGGTTTGACCTTTGCATCTTTACCTCACAGTAAGGTAGATATAGAAATGCAATTTAAGAAAGAAACATGGATAGAAACAGGATCCTTTTCTTCGTACTCACAGAGCATGGAATCTTCAGATGCAGAAACACCAAGTTGTACAGCATCTTTGAATAACATCATAAGTGATTCAAAAAGATCAAGATACATGCCACATAAAGAAGACAATGGAGTGAACACTTCTGACAGAAGCATTGTGCATCCCAAGGCTGGATGTGTGAACATAAATAAATCACCACTTTCATATATACCTGAAATAAAGAGACCAAAACTGCATCTTGAAGAGAAAAGGAAAAAGAAGCAAGAAAACAGGAAGGAAAAATGTATGCTCCTGAGAGAAGCTCATTCTGTCATCACTTCTTCAGATGCCTCTACTTTAGACAAAGCAGAGGAAGTTGAAACAGAAGTAATGCAAAGGCACGTGCCACACTCTAGGCCGCAAGAATCACCACCTGTAGGACAAGTAGCACCTACAAAGTCCATTTCTAACCATGCAAAGAGAAGAAAACTGCATCTAGCATGGGAAGAAGAGGAAGTACAAACCTCAGCAACTGATGCTTTGACAAGTTCCAGTGACCTAGGTTTAAAGGCAAAGATATCTGCAACTTATGTGTTGAGTGTCAAGGAGAATAGAATTCCCAGGAAGAGGAAGACTCCCTGGAGGAGCAGTAAAGAAAAAGCAGGAAAAAAACAGGAAAAAACTGGAGAATGTAAAGTTTTTGCAACAAAGATTGATAGTTCCATGCCTTCTGTTTCTCACCATGGATTGTCACCTCTACATGAAGATTTTCTTGTGGCATCATGTACAGGGGAACTCACACATTCAGGTTCAAATGGAAGCATTACCCTACCTAATGTAATAAGTAAAGCCAAAATACAAGACTTATATGATGAGGCAAAAGTCAGAGTATCAGATAAAGACAGCAAAGATAGAATAACTTTGAGAGCAAGAATATCCCCACCTACACATTTTAATGACAGCATGTCACCTTCTAATATTAGAGAGCAAAAGAAAGAACCTAAGCGAGGCAAAAGTGAACCAACAATGATTGTTCTAAATGAAATTGCTTCCTTACCTTTTCCATCTTTCCTAAAGTTAGACACTAGAGTGAGTGAAGAGGAAAACATACTAGCAGAAACAGACATTTCTTTTCTACCACCAACAATTGAATACATGTCAGAGTCAGACAAAAGAGCATACATCGAATCATCAGGTCATGTGCTAAGCAACAGAAAAGAACCAACACACGAAGAGGAGAAGAATAGACTCATAAAAGATGTGAAAGACAAAGAGATCACCAACTCAGTGGATCAAAGGGTAAAGAAATTTTCATGGTCACATACACTCAGTACCAAAGAGTTGCAGAAGAAAACCCAGGTAGAAAAACTTGTGGATCTGGCAAACACAATTGTAGCAGTGTCCATCTCACAATTGCAACTCAATACATTTTTAGATGCACAGATAGATGGTAGAGAAGTTTACAGTGAGATAAAATTACTGAAAGATCACGTGCCACAGAAAGAAAAGAAAGATAAAAAAAAGCATGTGGATGTAAATAATATATATTGGAAAACAAAGCAATCACCTGTTTTACCTATGCAGAATTTGAGTAACATTCACTGGAAAACTAGAGAGCCAGGGGGAAAAGCTAAACAAGATATAAGTGATCCAGGTTTAACACTAACTAAGAAGTTGACTAAGACTGCTACGTCTCCCCAACCTATCCTTATTGTGAATGCTGGAATCATGGACAAATGTACACCAATGCTAAGAAGATCCTCTGTTTCCTTGGGATACTTCCAGAAATCATCAGATTCTGAAGGAGGCATTTACATACAGCCAATTACTGGAGATACTTCAGTTAATCTACAAAATAAAAACCAGCATATGTCAGAGGAAAATGAAGAACCTGGAATGCAAGTAGCTAAGATCATAACTCATAAATACCAAGAAACAAAGGTGCAGGAACTTCAAGATGAACAAAGCTTTGTTCTAACTAAATCCTCTTCTTTATTACCAGATCTGCTTTATCCCAAATTGTCTAAGAAAACAGAATTCAATGACACAAAACTAACACTTAGAAATTCTGCTTTGCAGAGACTATCAACTAAAAGAGAAACATTACCTAGAGATGCCATTGTTGATGACACCACAAAAGATGTTCAAAAACAACATATACCTCAGAGAGAAGAGATATACAGAAAACAAATAATAGACAGGCAATGCACAGATGTAACTTTAAAGTCACAAAATTCACTTCTCTCTCAGAAGCTCCATAGAACAGAACTACCTATGCATATTAACTCACCTAAACCAAAGGAACAAGACAATAAAAGTGAACCTGGAGTTTTAAGAAAAATGTGTTATAATTCTAAACCTCCAACCAACATTACCTTGTGTAAAGCTGTACAAGTAGATGAAGAAAGGGCAGAAAGTGCACTATTTTACACATTCCCACAAATGTTTCCAGCATTATCAGATGCAGAGAAAATGGCAGACACAGAGGCCATATGTAGGTATGTCAGAAAAGGAAAACCATGTACAAAGAAAATAGAAAAAACAGTAGACTTGACAATTGGTCAAGAACAAAGAACAAAGGTCTCACCAATTTCACAGCTCCTTAATGCGAAGGAATTTGTCCTGAATATGAAGGTTCTGGAGAAAAAAGTACACAAAGATAAAAGTGAACTGGCAGTGATTGCAACACGAACTTTCCTGTCCATGTCATCACCAGCTTCTAGGTATTCACAGGACAAAACACAGAAAGACACAGCAGGAATTACAGGACATGCTTACCCACAGGGAAATTTCCAGGAAGCAGCAGATGCCCAGGAAACAGCAAACAGAGAGTCAGCTGAAGATGATAGTAACTGTATTGCTAAGACAACAGAACACAATGTGCTACAGAAACAAGCCAGGTCACAGGAGTCAAAGTCAGTGATCAGTGCCTATCAAATAAGTGAGATTCCACAAGTTGACTCAGAATGTGAGTCAGAGCCCCCAGATCTTAACATCGACCTCACAAGATTAGGTATGATTAAAAGGGAAAAAATGCTGGACATCTTCTTCACAGGGCAAAAAGATCAGCTAGAAGAATGTGAAAAAAACCCTTCAACTAAAATTGGAAATTGGAAGAAGGAAAATGAAATCAAAGATAATTTAAGTCACAAAACAAGTCCTAAGTTTCCAGTTTCTCTACCAAAGAAATCACTCAAGGAGACACTGACCACAAGTGGAACCCTTGTATGTTTAAAAGGGCCAGTGACAGAGACAGAACAAGAGACTGGCTCAGCTAGGTCTATTAAGCCAAAGAAAGATAAACAGAGTAATGCTACGGTAAGCGAAATGTTACCTCCAGAAAAGACATCTCAAAATAAGGAAGAACAAAATAATAACATGAAAAAGCAAGCCATTCCTCACTCCAAAAGTGAACAGCAGATAAAGGCAAAGTCCTTCTCTCTTCTTATTGTTCCGGTTCACAACAAAAATCAGAGGATACATTTACAAACAGATGTGGATGAGAAAATTGCAGTGAGTATCAGCCCACAAATACAGTCATGGGCACATGTGAGTACTACAGAGTTTAATGTCACAAGATGGAACAAAGATTCACCATCAATCATTCCAGAACAAGAACAATGTGATCTAGAATTGCCTCATAAATCCCATGATTCTCTACTGAATTCTGAACCCAGGAACTTATGTTTACAAACAATACTAGGGATTGTTGCAGGGTGTGAGGATTTAAATATCACACATAAACCTGATATGAATACCACTGAGCAAGAAGAAATAAAAAAAGATACTCTAACACCCCCAGAGTGTACATTTGAAGATCAGACATCACAGATGGTGAACATATCCTTACAGAACTGTGACTCTCACGCCCAAAAGGCTATTTCAGAAGATTACAGTTGCAGGGTTTACCTGAAAGTTATAAAAATGAATTTCAGGTCTCCAAAAATTGATAATAGACGTGCTAACTTAAAAACCAATTACCAAAGACATTTTCCTCCTCTCAGCTGTGTTCAGATACCAACATTGAATGTTTCAAATAACAGCAAGGTCATGACAAAGGACACTGAAAAGCAAGAAGGTATAACATCACTAGAAACTTGGAGTAATCAAATACAGTCAGGGACCCACGTGAGTACTACAGAGTTTAATGCAAGAAAGAAAGAAGACCCACCATCAATAGCTCCATTGAGTCACATCCTCTACAAGTTCTCAATGAAAAAAAAGGATGACCTTCTTGTACACTTTTGTACAAAAGCAGTGGAGATAAAAGCAACAGGCCTTCCCAGAATTGTAGCACAATCTTATGCAATGACTAATGCCCAGGATAAACCAAAACCTTTATTTAAGTGTATCCATTCTGCCACTAAAGAACCAAAACGAACAAACAGAGTTTTAGTACTTTTTGATGAAAGATCTTTTTGTGAAATTGACCATGATTTGCAATGCAAATACCTCCGCTCTATCCCTAGACCTTCTGTCACTGTGGTCTCTAAGCCAAATGTACTTCCCAAACACACTTCTAAGTTAAGCATGGGTAGACCTTCTGTCACTGTGGTCTCTAAGTCCCATGTACTTCCCAAACACACTTCTAAGTTAAGCATGGGTAGACCTTCTGTCACTGTGGTCTCTAAGCCCAATGCACTTCCCAAACACACTTCTAAGTTAAGCATGGGTAGACCTTCTGTCACTGTGGTCTCTAAGTCCCATGTACTTCCCAAACACACTTCTAAGTTAAGCATGGGTAGACCTTCTGTCACTGTGGTCTCTAAGCCCAATGCACTTCCCAAACACACTTCTAAGTTAAGCATGGGTAGACCTTCTGTTACTGTGGTCTCAAAGCCAAATGTACTTCCCAAACACACTTCTAAGTTAAGCATGGGTTCAGGCTCAGAATGTAAAAAAGTGGAAGATAGTGAAGGAAGTAGTATTCTTTCCTTTAACAAAGAACTTTTACAGCATGTTCCTTTCCAAAAGAAAAATCCACAACAAAGCTCATTACTCATTAGAAAATTACAGGAGCCAACCAATGTACCTAGTCTACAAGGCACAGAACAGAATGATATGAGAATTCTTTCAGATTTAAAATTACAGATGACAACAGAAAAGGATAAACAATGTCATGTATGGTTTGAAGAGAACAATTCATACAAGCATTCTGTTTCAGGAACTCAGCAAAATAATTCTGATTTAGCTGATTCATTTTCATCTTGGATTTCTGATGACTGGACCAATGATATCCCCCTAAATACAGAGACTTCAACTGACTTGGCAGAATGTCCAGCTTCTGAGGAAAGTGACAGTGAGGAATGTGTGTTTATAGAAACCAATTTTTACTTAACTCAAGATTCACAAAAGTTCCTGATTGAGGTACCTAAAGGCATTCCGTTGGCAGATACTCACAAAATGGATGAAGCAACTTTTTTGAAACCATTTTACTGTGGAGATCTGAATGATTATCATCCGAGAACCCATAGAAAGCACACCTCCCCTGTGGCCCAATCTTGCTATCAGTCTCAGAATACTAGGAAATATAGGATAAACTCCAAAATGCAGTCTCCTGAATGGTTGTCTCACAGCTCATCCAATACTGTGGAAATAGAGTCTACAGAATCTTGCATAACATGGAATGAAGACTGGACCTCGACCACATGGAGCAGAACAAGCTACTCTTTAACATCCTCAACAACTGAATCAAATATTAAATTGAATCTTGAAAAAAAACATGGCAAGTCCTACATGTACCCACAAATCAAAGAAAGGATGGCTAAATCTGATTTATGGAGAAAGTCCAACTTTGAACAGAGTTCAAATTATAGTCACTCACACAGTGAAGAGAAACACCCAAGGAGGAAGAGACTATATCATTATGAATCCAAAGAACCAAATCCACAAACCAATCAGATGCCAGAGCCAAATGCTCATTGGCAGAATATCAAATTCTATTCAGAAAGAAGAGAAAATCAGCCCTTCCTTTATGCCTGTGTACCAGCAGATTCAATGGATGTTATCCCCCAAACCATTCGCTGGGTTATTCCCCCCAAAATCTCACAGCAAAGAAACTTCAAAGTTCCTCGAGTGGCAAATATTTCAAAATCTTGGAATCTAATGAGTTCATCCAAAAAGCTGTTGGGATCACTTTCATGGGCTTTTAATAGAATCCGTTATCGTTAATATCAATTGCAAGTGGATTCTTCCGAATTGGAACTCAGTTTGCTACTGTGATATTCTATGAAAATAAATGAGTAGAATGTCATATTTCTTTGAGATGTATTTACTCAACTTGTCTGCTTTATGTCTTGGTAGATTCATACAGTTGCAGTTGGAGGTTGGGGAAAGGGCATGACTCTGTTTCATCCTACCAGCTAAGAGCTTTCACTTCAGTTGGTGTTGCTTCCTCATAATCCTAATGGGAGAGGGTCTAAGTCTTTGTCCCACCCTGCCCTTATGGCTGAAGGGTGAATGAGAGGAACATTTGATCATGAAAAAGGTGGAGAATAGGTAGCTGAGATGGAAAGGACATAAAGACAGGCTCATTGAGATAGCACTAAGAGGTCCACACCGTCAAACAGCCCAAAACCCACAGCAAGTACTCAGTTATGCCCAATGAGTTTGACAGTCAAACTGAATACCTTAATACTTTTCATAATAGAGAACTCTGAACACCCAAACACAAAGACCAGTATCCATTAACTACACTTCAGATCAACAGCCTTTAATGGAAACTACCTCACCCATATCTCATCCAAACCTTCACCATTAGGATTTTGGAACAAATCCTAGATACACCATGTGGTTTGTAAATATTTTTACTATGTATCTGCATAAGGGCTTTTAAGATGACTACAATGTCACTGTCACATCTATAAATAACAACCAGATTACAGTAGTGATACATTTAAAATAAAATGTATGCTTCAAAAGACTGCTTGCCCCTTTTGGTGATACTAATCAGGACTGTAATCTTGAGTTTAGTTTCTAGTCACAAATGAAAGGGAAGAAAGAACTGAGTGATTAGGTGCAGTGTGATGGCTATTCTTGGTTGTCAACTTGACTACATTTGGAGCTAACTAAACCCAAGTGGTTGGGTACACCTATGAGACATTTTCCTCAATTAAACCTTTAGAAATGGGAAGTCCCACTTTTAATCTGGATCTTCTGAGCTGGGAAGATACACTTTTATCTGGGCCATACCTTCAGATGGCAGTCTATGTAATGAACATGGAAGAAGGAAGCTTGCTCTCTTTGGATGCTTGCTCTTACCCTTGCTGGTAAGTTCATTCCTTCACTGGCATTAGAACCTAAGTTCTTTGGGATAGCAGTGCATACTGAAGACCAGCTGAAAAATCCAGCCTCAGGGAGCAGGCAACTACTGGATTCCTCTGTTGGTGAACAGCCATTGTTGGACTAGCTGGACCACAGCCTCTAAGCCATTCTAACAAAATCCAGTTTCTAGACAGATAAATCCCCTTTCTAGATATATGATAGATAGACAGACATATAGATAGATGACAGATAGATTCATTCTATCCATTCTGTTCTAGAGAACCCTTATAACACATGCATGATGTAAAATTGTCAGAAAAGTGAGTCTAAAATATTACAAAAAACTAAAAGAAAAATTAGACACAAAAGACTAGAGGAAAAATTGCATTCCAATTTTTATAAAGCTGAGTGAAGAAAAAAGTTCTTAAGAATATCACCTTAGATATCTGCTTGATGTATCTTTTTCCCTATATCTTTTGACAGTTTTAATTATCACCTTGACACAATCTATACTTCTGGGGTAGGAGGATCTCAGTGGGAAATTTTCTAGATAAGGTTAGTTCCTGGAATTGTCTTGAACACATTTGTTGATATGGGAAAACCCAGACCACTATGGGTGGCAGCATTCTCTAGGACTAGGTCCTGGACTGAATAAAATGGGGAGAGTGAGCAGACACTGGCAATCACACCTGCATGTGTTTATCATTCTTGGCTGTGGGTGTGATGTGACCAGATGCTTCAATTTTCTGCTACCTTGATTTCCTAACAGTTCTGGACTATTACCTGGAAGTGTGAGTCAAACCCTTCTTTCCCTAATTGCTGTTGTCAGGGTGTTTTTATCAACACAGCAGCAAAGGAAACCAGGAAGCATCTATGCCATTAGTTAGAGTAAACATATATTCTGCTGAGTCTAGTCTTAATAGAAGACTATAACCTTTGTATTTCTCAGTTTGTGCGACCCCTGGAGGGGACCCCCGACCCGCGGCTATGAGGTGATGAGGGTCGCTACTAATTTGGTGGGTCTTCACGAGCAGATCCGATCTTAATAAGCAAACTTCAAGAGGTTAAGGGAAATAGGCTCAAGACAACTTTTGCTGATCAAGAGCATTTATTCTTGGGGGCGAAATGGTTTTTATAGGAAGAGCATCTCAGGGGGCGGTACAAGCATGTCAATCAAGTCTCAACTCAAATATATACCAAATAAGGTAAAGCCGAAGCTGTAATTTTCCATCAGTTGCATTCCGCAAATGCTTGTCAGCGTAAGCCAAGTGCAGGAATTAGGGAGGGGTAAAAAGTATTCAAAGGAGCCCCACACGTCTTTAATCCCAGCACTCAGGAGGCAGAGGCAGGCGGATCTCTGTGAGTTCGAGGCCAGGCTGGACCGACAGCCTCCAAAACAATACAGAGAAACCCTGTCTCATAAAAACCAAAAAAAAAAAAAAAAAGTATTCAAAGGAACATATTAGCCTTTTGTTAACAAAGACAATTGCTCTATAAGGGTTACTTCTGCCTATCATTATGGTAAAAGCATCCAAAGGAACACATTAACCCTTTGCCAACAAAGGCAATTGTTCTATAAGGGTTACTTCCCCCTGGCTAGGCCAGTGGGCTGCCCTGTGTAAACTTAACTTTTGTGGTTAGCTTTTTCCTTTGTCTCAAGGGCATGTGTGCCCGCAGTCACGTAGGCAGAAGGTCAAGAAATGGCTGACAGACTCCATTTTGTTCAAGGTTCTTAGCAGTCCCCAACAAGTTTGTGATTTACACATTTAATGGGCGAAAGCCTCATCCACAGCCCACTCTCCCACACTGCAGCTTTCTCCCTTGTCTGTTCTCCATCACTCAACTTCTCTGAGTTCCATATACCACAGGAGGCTTTCACCTTGTGACATAGACTCTGGCTTTGTTACTGGTGTATCCACAGGGAGGTGTTCACACTTGGCAGATGGATCTCTGGAAGCCATTTCTACACCAGGATAGCATAACTGTATAGAAAGTGAATGTCAGTCACTTAAATACATGGACAGACCATTAATTCCAGAGAGAAGACCCTATTTTGACTTCCATGGACACTGTGACACAAATGGAACACACACACACACACACACACATGGGAGAGAGCAATAAAAAATGAACATGTTGCTGACAAAGGATAAAAGTAATGAAAAAGTTATGAGATGACAGAATTTGCAAGACTGCACTATAGAAAGATATGACTAAAAGTGTCAGGGTACATATTAAAAGGAAAATACAATAATATTTCACAAGAAATTCAATTGCTTGAAAAAAAGTGAGTCATCTGATAATTTATAAGCTTTTAGATTGTTAAAGCTTGCCTTTTGACAGGACATTAAATAAAGCTTCAGATACCAGATAACTGACATATATTAAGATTTGATGGAGACATTGATCACTAAATAAATGCTCTAAATATTTCAGCTACTTACTTATATAAAGGAAAGGAGCTAAGGTAAACAAGGCCAACTTGGAACTGAAGTAGAGGAAAGGATATGGATGACTTACGTTGTCTAAAAGTTTCCTCTGAGATTGAAATAGTTCATCCTGCAGGGAAGCCCCATAAGCAGGAAAGTAAATACTAGGCCCCTCAGTGCCAGAGTAAGCAATTAAAGCTGAGAGAAGCTAAGCTGCAAAGAAGACTCTCAGACCACCAGCTGCATGCAAGAAGTTTCAAACTGAGACACCTGCGAAAAAGACTCTCCAGCCTGTTAAGCTGCCTGCAGACTGCAGAGTGATCCAGGTTCCCAGCTTTTGGAAGATGTCACCCATGCTGGAGTTGGCTTTGATGCTTCTGCTGTCTTTGAGTCATTTCTGCTCCTGCAAGTAACCCCAATAAACCTCATTGGTTCACCAGGTTAGACTTCGGTGAGATCTGTACTTTTTCGGTTGTGGCTTCCCATAGGTGAGTAGATACGTGTGTTTTACCTCGCTAGGAAAAGTTTTGTCACAACATTACAAGAAGGAAGGGGATGCAGGAGAGAAAGTAGCATGGACTGAGGAGACAGGGAAGCTTAGCAAGTGGAGCCAGTATGTGTAACAACAGCAAGGTTGGTAGACAAGGCCAACGGTCAGGAAGTACCACTGACAAGTCCCAGGACATCTGTGAATGTGCTATTTGGTGATGGGTGGATGGATGACCCAATAAATCCAAACTGGCTGGAAAGGAAAATGGTGAGGCAGGGACCAATGCCAGAGGGTTTGGCAGCTTGTGAGTCTCAGAAGCAAGCACCATAGCAGGGGAGCAACCCTAGCTACCTGTGCCTGCAATGGTTTGGCAAGGTGCAGTGATTGGAGCTGACATCCATGACATGACCCAGGAGTGAGGGTCTGACTTACAAAACACAATTATCTGCCCATCAGAGTTACATTTTACTGTAACTGCAATTCACTGACTTAAACCACTCGGTACTCTTAATTAGGCAGATTCTATGATGTAACAACTGCCAAAAGACTTACCCAGAATTTGGCCAGTGAGTTGCTTCTCCATAGCTGTAGTTGACAAGATCGCACTTATGATTTATAACTTCAATCATCTATTAAAATAATAAGGATCTAGCTTAGGAAGTAATTTGTAGTCATTGTAGTAAAGAAGCTTTATAATCCTATAGTATCTAGATTAATCGTATACTAATTTATAAGGTATTTCTAGGAATACTGTAATTAACGTCAAAAGGTAGCAGAGGACATCATAGTGTCTACCTTCAATTCCAGGAGATGCCGTTACATTACTGGGAGATCTGAGTTTTAAATTATGTTTCATTGAATATTTACAAGGGTGTAGTTATTTAAAAGAATTTATAAACTTAACTGTATTTTATTATTTCAACAACTATTGTTGTTATTCAAACTATGACAACAGCTAGAATTGCTTAAAATATTACAATTTTGAAAACTATGGCAATAACCAGGGAAGACTGATTTATTGTCCCTGAATCTCATAGTAACACCTAAGAAATTTAAAAACACCAAGTAGCT